CAAGTCAACATTGCTTCGAGAGTGGAGCTACCAGTGGAAGGAATACTCTTTTGTGAACCAAAATAGATACTCGATAATTCAGCCAGATATTCCCAAATTTCCTTGGTACAAGTCTTTTAGAGCTTCCAGGAGTCACATAACTTCCATTATTAGAATACGTTTGGGACACGCATGTTATCCAAAGCACTTATTTAAAATAAAGGTTTTGGATGATGACAAATGTGAGCATTGTGGAGAGGAAAGTGATTTAGATCATATATTTTTTGGTTGTTCTAAAAACAGAGTCTACTCATCCAAACTTATAAATGATTTATTAAAATATAAAATAGCAGCTCCTTGGAATATGCTACATTTATTATCACTTGGCTCTGTAGATATTTAAAACTCTTTAATAAAATTTTTAAAAGATAGCAAATTATCATTATAATTCTCTAAAAATTATTTCTCTCCCCTTCTCAACCTATTTCATTAAAGACTAAAAAGTGTAAACGCATGCCAAACATAGATCACTTGAGAAAGGCAATCAGCCGAAACAGCTGTAGTGATAAGAGTTTAAAATAAATTTTGTGGAAGTTTGATCAAAATAAAGGCAATAAGCTATCTTTGTTAGAATCTATGGAAATCAACAAATTAAAAAACACAGATGTAATTATGAATGACCAACTTGAGACAAACAGTTCTCCCCTCCTCAACCTATTTCATTAAAGACTAAAAAGTGTAAACGCATGCCAAAAATAGATCACTTGAGAAAGGCTATCAGCCGAAACAGCTGTAGTGATAAGAGTTTAAAATAAATTTTGTGGAAGTTTGAAAACAAAGTTTTCAGTGTTTTATTGTTACATAAAAACCCGTTAAATGTTGTTAATTTAAATTTTTGTTTCATTATATATTATTAAAAATTAAGATGTTCAAGTTACCGTTGGAATTGGTAATATGGCTACGTATGACTCTACGTAAAGTTACTTAGTCCTGAGACAAAGTGTCTTCGAGGACCTGTTGATAACAACAAATTGTTATCAACTTGTTATTATCAACAGGTAATCAACAGGTTGATTAAATGTAAGTAGTGTTTTCTTTATTTTCATTTGCTTTAAATGTCCATTGAAAAACTTATTACATTTAAAGTTTTTATGTAATCTTTGATAATAGAGATAGTGGGAATATTTTTTCACAAAAATGTTTTAGAAAATATGAACCTATCTCGCAATATTAATGACGAGAATTAGCGTTTGTTTCTAATAAATTGCACAGTCCGTTGCAAAACAAGACGAAAAACACAACTTTATGTTTCACCCGTATATAGATAGAACGTTGACATTTATCAGAAAACAGTGGTACAGTAATTTCTTAGAAATAGACTTATAATCTGAAAAAAAAAATCATCGAAATCCAAGTAACGGTTCAGAAGAAACATGTAAATTAAAATAAATGTCCTAGGCCTCGGTAATGTCCTGTTGAAAAAAAATTCTTTTGATTACATAAACCCACTTAGGTATATCAATAAGTGGATTCTAAACATAAATATTATTTTAATGATATTTGCTGAAAAGATTTGTTTTTGGCCCATTTTCCATTATTACAAATTTGAAAACCCACCTTCTATAACCGTTTTAAGAGACTGAATTCAAACAAACCACAATTTGCATGAAGTGCGAGAAAAATGGTTCAGCAATTTGCAAATCTTATCTTGGAACAACTTGGCAATAAGGTTATCATTATATAACAGCTCAGAAAAGTGCTTGTTGCCGGAAAGCGCCCTCTGAGATTATTTTTAGAATGTTTATGTTGCACACAAAGATTATACAATCTCTTTATGAAAATAATATACACATACAGGTTTAGAAGTTGATGTTTCGTACAATAGAAAAACACGCCAAACCTTTGACACTTAAGAAAAATAATGTAACTAAGAAGTTTCGAGTTGAATATATAACTTACTGATAGTCAAACAAAACAAGTCAAAAATACGTGAGAAATAATAATCTATACCATATTTCTTAATGTCTAAGCTTGTATATTCAAATAAAATTCTAATTGCAAAACATGACCCTCCTCTTACTGCATGCTTGCATTGATAAATAATAATTACTATTTAAATGGGAATAAGCCATAATTAAAGGTTAAAGTACGTTTATTTACGTTTCAATTTCCACTAGAAGTCGTTCCCAAAATACAAACATTAGTAAATTAAACAAATTTTGTTTTTTTGTTACTTGGTGAGAACTTAAAAGGATAGGAAATAAATTCTACATTTCAACAAAATTCAAAACAACAAACACATTGTTATCTATTTTGTCTAAAACCAATGAACAAGAAAGGACAAAGAATTGTATTTATAAAATACCTTGTGAATGCGATCAGTTTTATTTAGGTGAAACATCAAGGCCATTAAATGTAAGAATAAGTGAACATCAATCTTATATTAACCCTAGAATGGTACACTGGTGTCAAAGGTGACAACACCCAGTTTCGATTAGATACAGTCAGCACGTTCCTAGAGAGGAAAGGCTTAAATTCTCAGTACGTTTACCTCTTTTAGTTTCAAATCAACTGTAACCGTAACTGTTTATCGGACGCTAATAGCTATTGTAAAATATTTATCTGTGTCACATACAACACCACAGTACAATTCTCGTTATAATTTTGAATATACATAGAAGTAAATGGCTTCAACAAGCAAAGCGTTGACTCAGGCTGAGTCAGAGGAAACTTATGTGCGTGCTTATGAGGCTGGTGAGAGTGATGAAGATGTCCTTTTAAATAATACAGAATCTAAATGTGTGAGTGAGGATGAAGACAAAGACCTTAGTGAAAGTGAACATTATGATACCATTTTAGCAGAACCAGAGGTTAGTAAAGAGGACAGTGAAGATTCGCAGAAAGATAGCGACCAAAAAAGAAAAACAGTATATGAAAAAAACGGTTTTAAGTGGTATAAAACTCCGTTTTTCTCAAAGAACACTCGCACAGTTAAAAAAACATAGTGCTTCGTCTACCATCTTCTGATTCTGGCTTGGAAACTATTTTTTAGCGACTCAATGATAAACTATATCACTCAATATACAAACCACTCTAAACAATCTACTAAATTTGGTCAAACTCCAAGTTTTACAACTATTACAAGCAAAGAAGAGATTTTGTCATTATTCGTTCTTTTATATATGAGTGGTGTTATAAAAACTATCTACCTGAGTACCTCGGATTTATGGTCAAAACAATTTGGAATATCAATTTTTAAAGCAACAATGTCACAAAAACGCTTTGAATGTTTGATTAATTGTCTTCATTTTGATGATAAAACAACTAGGGAGGAAAGGAAATGTGATGATAAATTTGTACCTATAAGACTTCTTTGGAATGAATTTATTGAAAATGGTGAAGAAATGGTTGAAACTGATGAACATTTGTTCAGCTTTTGGGGCAGATATCCTTTTAAAGTGTATATTTTAAATAAACCAGACAAATATAGAATTAAAATCGTTATGTTGTGTGACTCTAAAGCTTTTTATATGAACTCTTCCATACCATATGTGGGAAAAGAGACCCGAGATGCATCAGAAACTTTGCCCACCCAATACGTTCTTCGCCTATGCAAACATCTCTATGGCATCATTAGAAATGTCACCATTGATAATTGGTTTTCGTCCTTAGATCTTGCAGAAAGGCCTTTACAAAATAGTTGACAATGGTTGGAACCTTAAGAAAAACAAGTCTGAAAATATAAGGCAGTATTAGTTTTTTAGCTAAATTGGCTTTTACCTTTGTTCTTTCTGCATGCATCCGGAAATTTAGTTTTCTGTCGAGGTGGACTCCTAGGTATTTGACTGATTCTGTGGCCTGGATCCTGTTTCCTCCTACTGTGATCTCGTTCACTGGTGGTGTATACGCCTGGGTGAACATGATGAATTCTGTCTTCTCTGCGTTGATCTTGATTTTCCATTTTTCTGTGAACTCCGTGATTTTTTCTAAGTGATTTTCCATGTTTCTGATGACTCACTCATCTGTCGTCTTTTCCGGATGCTTACACTGCTGTATCGTCTGCATAGAGGGCTGATGAAGTTCTTGGATCTGTTGAACGATCTGAAACAAAAATATTGTATAATATTGGAGATAAAATACTGCCCTGAGGCATTCTTTCCTGAATTTTTTGAAGTGTTGACATCTTTTGGTCAGCTGAAACTTGATATGTTCTATTAGATAAATACTTATCACATATGTTGATTAAGTAATGCGGAAATCTAGCTTTGTCCATCTTGAAGATTAGTGCCTTTTTCCAAATCGTGTCGTACGCCTTTTCTATGTCCAGTATGGCTAGTCCTGTCTTTTGTTTCCTGTTGAATTGGAGTTCGCAGTTTCTTCCTTTTCTGAATCCGAATTGATCTTCTTGGATGATTCTTCTTCTTTCTGTGTGCTTCATTAATCTTTTGTAGATGATTTTGTCCAATATTTTTTCCATAATATTTCCTTGTTTATCAACAAGGTTTAGTTTTGGACAGGATATATCTCAGTGTGTTGGTTATATACAGGATATGTCTTGTACTTGTTTCCTATCTTTTTCAATTTTTTTTGAAAAGTTGTCATCTTTGGATCCCTTCTTATCAGTGTTTCTGGATTGCTTATGGTGTTTTTTTTTTCTTTAGTCAATCTTGTGGAATTTCTTGTTGATAAATGACAACGGGAATTTTTTGTCAAAACCTTTGTTTCCCAGTTTTTTTCTCTCTGAAATACATTTTCGTTAGAGCAGGACCTTCGGGCTCTATCATATAATGGTTTAATAATTTCTTTTTTGATGTTTACGTTGCGGTTGCTACATACTAAAATGTAGGCAAGATTTTAAGAATGTAATTTGTAAAGGGAATGTGCGATTATGCACTTTTCTGTATTATTATTTGTTTGTAAACATCTATAAGCTCCATCCCCTGACGTTATATTAAAGTTTATTTATTGTGTAGCAAAAATGTATCAATAAAGATTTATTAAATTTTTGTGTTTGTTTGCAGGTAGAGATTACATTTGGGGCCAAGGACACATAGGGGTAAAATGTAGAGGTAAGTTTTTATTTAATACATTGATAACATTATTTTGAATAAATAACTAATAATAAATTAACTTGTATTCTATGTTTTAATAATATTTCTCCATTATCTATACTCGATACAATCAGAATCTTTTTTTTAATCCGGACAAGAAAAAGAACACATAATATCCATTATCACAAAAAAGTTTATTCCGATTCTCGCAAAAAATTAAATGTGTTACAGGTCACGTACACATACGAGTTCGATATAGTAATTAAATATAATAGGATTGTTTGAAATCTGTAGATATGATTCAAGGGTATGATGATAAATTTGTCGTAATTATTTATTTTAGAACGTTCTCACTATAGACTTAGTGGCACCTTCATAAAGAGATTGTTGTCTTCCTATTATTATTAGATATTTTAGACAAATAACCATATTTATACGAGGTTTACTCAGTAATTATAAGCTATAAGCAATAAAACGAACTAATTATAACCTGTCGCAGAAATTAGATTTTTATAAAAAGATAGTCCATGTCTTTTGATTCTTTTGCACAATTTTTTTCTTTTTGTTTTTTTAACCCATTAATGTTCAAGCATTGAAATAATCAGATTTTTTGCAATTCAAGTTTATATACTTTATAAATAAAGGCATAAAAACAATATTTCACCTAAAATTATTTGCAATATACAAAAAAATAATGTTTCGTTAACGAAACTTTGGCATAATATATGTAGTAAATTGAAAGTTATACGTTTTATAGTGTGTAAATGAAATTTCTTGGTTTTATAAACTAAAAACTAAAGATATTGCTACAATAGTTAATTATATGAAATAAAGTGATTACTTGGCAGTATGGTAGTATGGCACTAGTGTCATTATGGCATCTCATTTTTTATGGAAAGCACTAAAACAGTCAGCGTGCAAGTGAACCTTGCATTTTCCGCACATATAAACAGATTTAGTTTTGCACAGTCTGCCCCGCCGTCTATGTCCCTCCTCTTCGCGAACGATAGTGTTCCAGTAAGTGTTTCCACTTTCTGCCGTTTTGTTTGTGGTTCACAATCTGAAGAGTATTCGCTGCTATCGGAAATATCAGTGTATAATGGATCGACATCTGAGTCATCAAATTCACAATCACTTATTTCGCTAAGATTTTCAGCCAGATGCTCAAGTTTGTGTAAAGGAAGGTATCTCTTGTTATTTTTAGACATTGTACATAACCAAACCTGACTACAATTAAGGTAGAAAGGCCGTATGACACTATGCATTTTCCTGTATCATTTCTTATATCGTTTCTGATATAGAAAGTTATTTATGTTTTCTTGTATCGTTTCTTGCACGTACATTTTTGCCCTGTATGACACTATGCAAGTTCTTTTACCAGAAATTGTATGTGATTTGGCACATGATTGGTCGAAATTTTGACACCTATAAAAATAGAACTGCAGTACCTGAGGACCCCAAGCTACTAGGGACTGAGGACAAATGCTGTTGATTATTTTTTTAAATACTGTGGTGCAAAAATGAAAGAAATAAAATGTCCCAATATTAAAACTAAATTAGAAACCACAATTTTTGAAGATATTCAACAGGCTGTAATGGAAGACAGAAATAATAAATAATTTGGTTGTAATAATTTATTTGTTTTTTTTTTAAATTATGTGTTTGAATGGCATGCTTTTGAAATTCTACTCTCTTATTTGAAGATATAAAATAATCTTTAAACTCATCACTAATTTTTAGAGCGGTTATGTGTTGTTTTTAGGTAAAACATCTCCTACTTTCAGTAGTTCCGATGCTATTTGATCCAATCCCTGTGATTTATTGTTTTTCAATTTGGCAACTGATGTTCTAATTTGGTTATTGTTGGTGGGCACTTTTCTCTGATGTCTGCTTGGTCTAATTCTATATCTCCTCCAGCCGCCAATATGACAGAAGGCAGAAGTTTTACGTTTTTGCGGCTTTGCGCACAAATTGGCGCATTTTTTTGTTATATCAGAAACGATATAAGAAATGATACAAGAAAATGCATAGTGTCATACGGCCTTAACAATAATTGGTATGCCACTCGAAGATTTTGTGTCTCCAAATTTTATCTACAATGTTGCCGATTTTAGTATGCTAGGATTACCGAACTAACATTGAAAATTGGTTACCACAGCCTAAAGGAATGATGATACACGTATAAATACATTACAACTGCATTCGGACCACATACACAGTCGCTTGAATTCGTTCTACTCTTGTGTATCAAATTCATACACATAGGCTCAGGGAGAGTACCTGTTGTGTATTATACAGTGGTGAGTGCTTTATCACCCGGCTTTTTAACGTAAGAGATAGAAAACACAGTTACCTTGTGAAATAAAAAGATGAAACTCATAAAGGTGGGAAATAATCGATAGAAACCTATAATTTACATTACATTACCACCGTCGATAGTCTCACACCTTTAGACGTTATTATAGTATTAGAAGTGTTTAAAGTCGCTTTAAAACTCGGCAAAATAGCGGAAATAATAAAAGATGGATTTTGTGAGAAAGAATGAGATAAAGCTAGTTCTTAGACGTGGCTATTTGACTTCAGTCATAATTATACGGATACTGAAATATTTGACTAAACTAAAGGTAGGTATGTTCTGTCCGAAAACATTTATTGTATGTGGAGTTGGTGTAATTATTAGACACGTGGTCTATTGACAAGAAGATTGGGGTTCAATTCCCACCAAGGATAACATTTTTGTTTTACTCAATCAAAAAATAATAGAAAATATTATACATATTAGGTAACAAGTTTTCGAAAAACTCATTATTTACAATTTATTCTTATTCCAATGTTATAAAACGGAAATACAAAATAATTCAAATTCAAAAAGATATTTATGTGTAACTTTAAATACTTCTAATACTAGTAACGACTGACATAAATGTTTAGTGATTCAAATCAAAACGATCTCTTCATAATTTCAAATTATTAAAAAAAAAAGAAAACCACATATGGGTTTTGAACTCTAATCGTCTGCGTCGCAGTGTCGAATTCTTACCACTAATCCACGAAGGACTGATGTTTATTTTCGTAACAAAAGTGTATGAAACTCCTCAAATCATAGAAATTATTTTTGGTTAATAATTTAAAACTTTAGATTAAATAATCACAATTAATTTATTTTATTCACATTTTTGCTTTATTGTGGTCAATCATTTTTTTTTTGTGTGAAATTAAAAAATGTCACTAAAATACGTTACACATACGACGTCACAAATAATAATTATGACCGAGGTGATTTAGCTGGAAGCTAACGTCTAAAGGTGTGCGACTATCGATAGTCTTAAAGCAATGTAATGTAAATTATAGGTTTCTATCGATTATTTCCCACCTCTACGAGTTTCATCTCTTTTTATTTCATAAGGTAACTGTGTTTTCTATCTCTTACGTTAAAAAGCCGGGTGATAAAGCACTCACCACTGTATATGATACACATAGGAGTCAAAGTGTTAATATTTAAATTTTTCTGCTAGTTGCAGTATATTTAAAAAGGCAAATTAAAAGTCAAAATCTACCTATAAAATTTAAATGTATATACATCAACCATCGAGATTCAAATGATCGATTTCTTGTGCTTTTTCCCCTTTGCCTTCTTATTTTGATTTAATTAAACTTTAAAGTGAACATTTTTGGCTTACAGACTTTATTTCCAGGCACATTTTTCGGAAAAGTTGGTATCGCATCTCTAGCGCGTATTAATCGAAAAGGCAGTCAGTGAAGAATGTGAATTTTTACCGAAAAATGTATATTTATTTAGTAGAAATTTCGTTGTTGTGGAAGCATTAATCGCTTTTCGCGGTCTTTGTTATTATTCAAGTTAGGAATTTCTGTTATAAAGTTGAAATAATTTCTCTTCATGTTTTCCTATCTCTATCACTATTTGTACGGTTTTTTTACTTTAAGGAGCTACCGTAGTCTCGAATCAACATTGCTCTTTTATCTCCTTTCTGTGTATTGTTGCGGAAAACCACAAAGTGTAACACAAAGAAAATAAAACATTCCGCACGAATTATATTTCCAAAAAAATCGTTTTTTCAATTCCTATGGAAATTTTTGTAATAGAAAATATATAAGTATATATTTGCTGAATATGTTTTATTTATTTATTTATTTATTTATTAAGCTCACCAGGCCTTGAAGGCCTAGGACAAAAAGATTTAATTTTTCCTTACAATTACTATTACATATTATATATAATGTTATATCTTATACTACTATAATATATTAGTATATTACATAACGAGAGTTGTAAGAAGATTATTACATGCGAGTAAAAAAGTTGCGCGCGAGCCGCGTAGCGGCGAGCGCAGTAATTTTACAAGCATGTAATAAGCTTACAACTCAAGTTGTGTACTAAACTTTTTCTACCATTATTTTCGTTTATAAAAATAAAAATTAAATTACCACTATATTTACACTGACAGTTTAATAATTTTTAATCTGTCAAAATAACGTCTGTTAATTCGTTTCCATGGTAACTCGACCAACTGACTTACAAGGCTTATGTGATATTACACATTTTTATAAAACTGAAGCGTAATTTTTTTTATTACGTGCTAGTCATTACGTGTCAGTATCTGTTATGATGCATTTACTTAGCATCCAAATAGTAGGTATTAGACAATTTACTAGTAAGAGAGTAGAAAAAGAATATTACATTTGTTTATATAAAACACCTAATACTACACTTACTATTCCTTATAGTCTTTCCATACATTTCTTCACCACTTCCTTCAATTGTTTTCTGTCCAAAGCTTTTTCTTTTCAGTTTACAGTATTACTTTCTTTAAGCTGTCCTTCCATCTCCTTCTTGTTCTTCTTATTCTTCTTTTTTGTATTGGTTTGTGTAATACAACCATTTTTGGCATTCTCGCCTTTCCCATTCTTTCGATGTGTCCTAAGTAGCGGATTCTCTGTGCTTTGATTGCCGTCGTTATTTTTGGTTCATTATATAGTTCTTCAAGGTCCTGATTATT